TATGTTTTGAAAATCAAAACAGTAAATATCTTTTTTTTAGAAATAAAAATCAACCATATGTCACTAGATTGTTGAAAAAGGAAGGCAAATTAACATTAACTAGCACATGGTTTTGCGTTGACTCGAATCATTAGTCACCAGCCGTCGATTGGAATATAGACGGTCAAGATGAAAAATAAGCTTAGGGTGGTGGTGGACCTGGCCCACCGCAGTGGTAAAAGGAAAGTGTATTTGTTTTTCATTTTGGTATAAAACTTAAAAGTATAGGGTATGTTACTCTCATATAATACTAAATATCTTGCCTTATGTTATAAATATAATTATGTGGACCTACCAAAAAATAAATATATAATTATGTGGTGAAACTCATTATTTATTTAAAAAAAAGAGGGGCACATAAATTAATGGGTCTGTGAGATGTTATATTACTCTCCTATTAATGGATGAGAGTAATATAACACAAAAGTATATTTGTTCCCTTTTTTTTTTAAGTTCTATTTTGGAAGGTTGTTATTATATTTTGATTTGTAATATCGGAGTGAATTTTTGGTATACATGGTGTACTGAATTGGATATATTTATTTACTAAAACGGATAATTTTTTTACTTTAAGTTTAACACTTGTTTTTTTTGTTTAATATTTTTCTCTATAAATTTTCCCCATTCAGTAACAGATGTACCGAGGTGTGGGAAATTGAAGAATGATATAATACTAATAATGGATAATAATAATAATAATAATAAATCTTGTCTTACTTCTTTTTGTCAAATGTAACGTACACATAAGATGTGACGATGGTGTGAGATCAGAGATAAACGAAGAAGGCAGAGAGGAGACATCATCACCCGTATTCAAAATTGGGAAAATTAATCGAATTTTATTTTAATTCATTATAAATGTTTTATCTTGTTATTCAATTATATATTTTTAGGATTTATATTTTAATTATTTTTCATTATATTTTTTTATCTTATTATTTAATTGGATATGATATTGTGCTTATCTTTTTTATGTCTATCCAACTTACTTATATCCAACATGGTTATATCATAATTCCAACTAACTTTATTCATCTTTTTCTTATTTTTAGATTCTAATCTAACATTATTGGAAATAAATAGACAAAATATATATAAAAAAAGATAGACATAATATCTTATTCCTATTTAATCATGTAAAGGATGTCAAAAGGTACAAAAGGCCGTTGATTTAAATAGTACATGCTTCAAGTCCTTGGATTAAAATTTATAGATTGAATCATTTCTCCAACACGTTTTCGCTCTTCTCTTGATATTCTAATCTAATAATGTTATAAAGGAATAGGTAGAGTAGATATATATATATATATATATAACTGTAAATGGGTCAAGTCAGACTAATAATTAGATTCTACTATGCTATCGGGTCAGGCCAAATTGAAATTTTTTGACATAGACTTCACCTTTTCGGGACAAAGTTCGGCCTTACCTAATCCACTTTCACCCATATATATTACTAAAGATTTTTAAAAAGTTTGATTATCATAACAATTATATGAAAATTGTAAATATTTTAGTGAAACAAGGAGTTAAATATCAATGCAAAAATCAATCAATTTTAAACACAAATTAATATAAACAAAATATATGAGTGTGCTTTTATAAGTATTTAAAATTTCTAGACTGTCTACAAATTAAATGAAAAATTACTTTATATGCATATTAGTTTTACTCCCTACTTTTTTAAAAACGGAATAGGTTTTTTGAAAAATCATTTTCAGCAAAGAAATCAAGCACATGGTATAACATCCTAAAGAAAAAAAATCTAGTAAGATATAAAAAAAATAATACTAAAAAATAAATAAATAAAACTAATAGATATTAATGAGATATTACAATTTTAAAGATAACATTTGAGGTATATGTAATTAAGAAGATGTATGAATATAATTATTAATTAATAAAATAAAAAATAATCATTTTAAAGGCATGAAAATATATTAATTACATCTTTTAGTTTTTATAAAACTCATAAAGAATATAATATTGGAGAATATTACTCTCATGTCACATGAAAGTAATTCTCTCATGTTATGAGAGAATTTAAGTGGGGCCCACAATTAAAAAGAATAAAAAAAAGAGGTGCAATTTTTGAAGTAAGAGAACATAAGATAATTATATCATGTAAAATAAGAGTAATATTTAGGTGTAACATTATGAAAAAGAAGAAGAGAGTTATCCAAACAGAAACATAACCGAGAGAGTAGTATACCTTAGTACTTCGTATAGTACAATGTCATAAAGTAATAATATAATAAGGGAAAAATATTTGTCATTTTAAATGACATAATTTATATCATTTCACTCTCACAAAGAGATTAGACCCACACCTTTATTTTTTTACCATTCTCTCCCCCATTATCTATTTCTTTTTCTCACTTGAAACATCTTTATATCTTTTAAAATGACACACATTTTTTCGTATAATAATAATAAAAAGAAGAGAAAGTAATGAAATGGTAACAGTAAAATCATCGAAACACAACTAACTAGTATAATGTCATAAAATAATAATAAAAAAATATTTTTTCAGAAGATATAGTTATCTCCTTCAATTTCAAAACTACTTATTTTGAGGGTTGGTGAATTAATGAAGGGTATTTTAATAATTATATTTATTTTATTACTATATAAATTTTAAAAATACCTTTCATTAATTTCGTTAATCTCCAAAATGACATAATTTTAAAATTACAAGAGATAATTTCATTTCTTATAACACTAGGAGAAGCGATAAACCCATAATTTATATACAAATATACAAATTCTCATATATAACTTTAGACATAATTGATTAATCCTTTAATATTCTTCCTTTTAATAGATACAATAAAAAGATAAGCACTTGGTGTGGAGGTTAATTTATCATTTGATTCACGTACAATTTAAAAATTTTAAATACACAAAAAGAATATTTTTATGATTTATAAACTAAAATTACTTTGGGTTTAATTTTATTTTATTTTTATAATATTATTTTATTAAAATAGTTGAGATTTTCTTTTTTATAATCACAATAATTCTACAAATGTTTAATTATATATGATTAAATAATAAGGCTAAAAATTTATAATGAAATTAAATTAAAATTAAATAAAAGTTTGATGTTTGTCCTTTAAAATGATATAAGTTATGTCATTTTAAGAAAGAGATAAACACAAGAAATGAAAATCATAGGAGAGAAAATGAGTGTTTTTTTTAATTTAAATTTTAAATAAAAAATATTATTTTGTGTCTATCTCTTTTTTAAAATGACATAATTTTATATTATTTAAAATCATAAATACTTTTTCCTTAAATTAAAATTTGGGATTGTATGCGTAATATCTCCCTTATTTCACATCAATAATTTTTTATTTTATTTTATTGAAAACAACCTTCCTTAAATTTTGTGCTTACGTTACTTTGACAAAAGAAGTAAGAAACGACAACATTTATCATTATCCATTATTCTTATTCAAATGTTCTACTTCTCATATCTGGCATTTATGGGGCCCACCTCCTGGAATGTTACCAATCGAAATATAATAGCAACCTTCCAAATTAGAACATTAAAAAACCCAACAGAACTAACATACTTTTATACCAAAATGAAAGACAAATACACTTTATAGTTTCCACTGTGGTGGGCCCGATCCACCTTCACCCCAATTGCATTATTTCATTTACAATAAAGATAGAAAAAATATGTGTCATTTTAAATCACATATCTTATTATATCCTTTCACTTTCGTAAATAAATGGAACTTACATCTTTAAAACTTTTTTCATCTATTCTCTCTCTCATTATTTATTTTTTCTCTCACTTAAAATGACATACCTTTATATCCTTCAAAATAATACATACTTTTCCTATAAAAGATATGTTATTTATCTATTTTTTTGTTGCCTATTATTTTTTAATAATACTATTAGATCATAATTTTAACTATTTTTATCATTTCTCTATTCTATTAAAATTATGATCTAATGATATTGAAAAGTGGTAGACAGAAAATGAAATAGATAGAATAACTTATTTCTAATATAAAACATTAAATCAAAATATAAAAAAATATAGACGGTCAAAACTTTCAATTTTAAAAATTAGAGCACATTGATTTCATTAATATAATATTGATTTAATTTACAAAAAAAAAATAAAAATTGATTTACTAATGATTTGCAAATATCCCGTCGTTACTAAATGTTAATTGAAAAAATTTCAGCATTAATTGAAATTTTAAGAAAAATATTTTAAATAAAAAATTAATTAAGGACTAAGTGTTTATCATTTTAAATTACACAACTTAGTGTCATTTTTAATGAAATTACTTCGTTTTAGTGTATTTTTGGAAAAAATATTTATTATTTTAAATGATATAACTTTATGTCAATTTTAACAAAACTACGTTGTTTTGGTGTGTTTTTGCATTCTCTCTCCTCTACTTTCTTTTTTTCTAACATTATAAAAAATATCAAAAACGCGTCAAGAAACATAGTTTCATTAAAAATATCACAATGTTATGTTATTTAAAATAATAAATCCTATTTCCATTAATTTCCCATTAATTAAAGAGCTTAGTGTTTGTCATCTTAAATGACATAAATTATGTCATTTTAGGAGAGAGATAGACACAGAAAACGGAAATCATACGAGAGAGAAAATGAGTGGTTTTTTTTAATTTAAAATTTAAATAAAAAATTTATTCTGTGTCTATCTTTATCTTAAAATGATTGTTATTTAAAGTTTTAAGTGTCTTCTCTTAATTAAATAGGATTTTGTTCGACCGAGCGCAGAGGAACAGTGCCAAACAAACACAAACTCACTGACTCATGTGAACTATAGTGGCAGAGTCGTAAATTACTGAAAAAGCGTGTCCTTTTGCTATAAAGGAAATGAGGAACACACGGTGTCGTCGCAATACATGTTGATCTCCATAACAAGGCGCGAACCCCATATGATAGAGAACCTTTCTCCTTCTTCGTCTTCGTTCATCTCATATTTACTCACTCTTTTCTCTTTCTCTCATTTTCTCTTATTTTCTCTCGTTTTCTCTCTCCCCAAACGCAAGGTTTTCTCCTGATTCGCCTTTGTGAACCTTTCAGCGGCTAATTAGAGTTCCGAGCTGTCCTTTCACATTCGCCATGAGCCGATCGATCGAGCCGCCACCGTTGCTCAATCATTCATTTCGGAATTCACAGTAATTATTTCTCTCATTTTTTTTTTTTTTTTTTTCTCTCTCTCTCTCTCACTTTCTTTCCCTTCAATCGCGGTGAACCCTGCATGAAAACTCACTCTCTTTCTCTCTCTCTCTCTCTTACTGTGTGACAGGATGAGTGTACATTCTGGTAGCAGTTCTCATCGCTTCTTGGACCCTGACGTGATCGAGATTCCACCCCCAACTCGAAACCCTTCCAATTTGATGAAGCAGAAAGAGGTATCTTTTGTTATTCGATTTGTTTCTCTAATTTTATTTTATTTTCCTTACAAAGAATTGGTTTGTATTTTATTTTCTATGCCAAGTTCTTATTTTATTTTATTTTATTTTTTAAAATCTGGGGTTTTGGAAATGATCGTTTTTTTTTTTGGCCGATCAATTGGGTTTTCAGTTGACCCGTTTATCCGTTTTGCTTTAAAGTTGTGGCTTCTGATGATCTTGTCATCGCATGCATTTCGTGGACTCTGATGTTTCTTGCTTTTGCGTGCTATGAGCTTTGCTATCTAGCCTTTTGTTGTTCGAGACGGTTTGAAATTGGTAGCATTTAGTGAGGCGAAAACGTTTTGACTGCAACATTGTAAACTCTTGGTGATTTTACTTTGGAAACTGCTCAGCTTTTTTCGCTTTGTTTGTGATTTATTTTTATATCGTTTTTCACATATTAATTTTGGGTTTTCACTGATGCTTACACTGTTGTTATGTTTCCAATAATAGTTGAAGTTTAGGGACTTTTTGATACATTGACGGGGACTTCAGTTTACATAGGATATCACTGTAGTCATGATCAAATCTTTTTTCTTTTTATAATTATATTGTTGGAGCTACACAGCCAGAAAAAAATAGCAAGAATTTTTACACAATTATGCTATTTCTGGATGTAATAAAGTGGTTGGGTTGGGACTATTCACCCATCCAAGACTCAAAAAGCATGCCAAATTATTTTATAAAAAATTCCGCCATAAATTTGCTTGCTGTCTAGCATTTTTCTTTTTCTTTTTTATTCTTTTTAATCCCTTTTGGTATTGTTATATGGAAGGCTGTCTTTGTATTTAAATTTGACTTATTTTCAATTTGTAATAATCAGTAAACTTAACGCTACTGATTTATTATGGATAATGAGGTCATGGAAATCTTTATCTCCTAATAGATGTCTCCTGATTGCTATTATTAATGGTGTAGTTGTTTATTTTCCAGTTGTACTATTAGTGGGAATATGTGCCCTGACATGTTGAATTGCGGGTGAATACATTTTTGTCTACAGACCTTGGACAAGCTTTTGCTGATATGATTGATTAAGAGGGAGAGTAAGATTGTTATTATGCTTTGTTGGAAGGGAAATGATGTTTATGGCTGGATTTGTTTCTTAGGATCTTCTAGGATGATTTATAGGACACTGCAAATTAACCACGTCAAAGGGTTGTGTCTAGATAATAGATGAATTTCGTGAAGGGTGACCTTGTTATTTTGAATTTCGAAAGTTTTGTTTTTGTTTTTGTTCTTTTAAATATACAAATACTCTTGAATTCTTCTCAATCTCTTCCAAAAAATTTCTTCTCAATCTCTTCCAAAAAATTTCTTCTCATCCTTAACTGATAAAATTTTCTGTCCAATAAAAGACGAGAAACTGCTTTAGACTTGCTAATATCAGTAATAGAAGAGTTTGTTGAATACTTATTCTACCAAGAAATTCATTCATCATAGAAATTTAGACATGCAGCCTTTTAGGGTAGTGCAGGATCTTCAAATTCATAGTGTTGTGATTTTGACATGTTTTTTCTTTCTGGTTCTTGTTTTTCTTGGGAATGTGATACGGTCATCCAACCCAAGAAAATATACAAAGGAGATAGAAATAAAAGAGTTTGGGTTAGGGTAAATTCCCATATTGTCCCCCAACAATATGCTGAGCTGGAAGCCGTTAGTTAAATACAAGCTTGGTGCTGAAGGGAGGGTATTGGATAGCCCATTCTGGAATTGGAATTTGGGAGAGTGTGGAGTCTCTCAAACTACTCCTCATCTATGTTGCACCGATACAGTCACGGGATACAACACGACACTATGACACGTTAATTCTAAAAATGTTAGATTTCGTCCTGTTAGGACACATTTTGATATTAAATAATATTTTTAATTTATGCAGGGTATATTATATTTAATATTCAATAGTTTAACAAAAAAATGAAGCTAAACTATCCATCAATATTGCTAAGAAATATAAGATATCACAAATATTTATATGAAACTCAATAAAATAGTAATCGTAATCCAACGAAACTAATAGTAGAACTAAAAACGCAACCTTTGAACCCTCATTTGAGTCTTTGCAACGCCTGTTGGAGTGTTGGGGAGTGTTGGGAAGTGTCAGACACGGCTCGTCAGGCTTTTTGAAGTGTCGGTTCATTATAGCTCCTCATTATCTGTTTTTTTTTTACTTTTCTGCAAATGATGGTAGCTCACTTGGTGCATGAGAGCTGAGCAGGTGGGGGTGTGAGCATGCATTCGATCCTCCCCAATACCATCTTTTGGAGGGGTTTAAAGCCTTGATCCTGGACCTGCCCGAACAGAATTGCCTCCCATGGAGGAAACTTGTAGTTTATCCAAAAAAATACAAGTTTTTTGATTCAATGCCAACATTATTGTGTTCTGTTGTTGTTTCTATTCCTAATAATTAAGGGATCCTATCAATTGGTATTAGAGCTCTCGATTCGGGAGCTTTGGTATTCAATTTCAAGATGATTCTAGTATTTGATGGAGTGGAAGCATATGGATGGCAGATCCAAATGGAGCAATACTTTAAGGTGAAATAAATGCCAGAAACTAAGAAAATTTCAGAAGTTGCGAAGGGACTGAAAGGATACGATCGCATTTGGTACCTTTTTTGGAGGGGGTCGAATTCGAAGGCAAGTTGGTGGGATTTCTCAAAGGCGATGTTAAAGGAATTTCAGCTAGAATACGATCCAGATTTATTTCTCTGTGACGAAGAGGAAGAGAGGCGTTGTTTGAATTCAAAAATGGACAGGGAAGGGAACTTCGTGATAGAGAAGAAGGATATATCGAAACGGGAGAAGGAGGATGATGGTGAAGATATATCGGCTAGAGCGAGGCTGATTTTGATGGAAGAAGCTATACAATTGCTTCCAAAACCAGAAAAAAAGATGCTGAAAGAGAAAGCGGTCAAGGTTAGACAAAAAAAAAATGATGAGAAGGAAGCTATGGATGAGAGAGGATTGGGGAAAGGCGACACAATAGTCTTCGGTGGTGGTAATTGACCCGTTACCAGGGCTGTCGGATTTGTTCATTCACAAAGGGAAGGACACGTCTTCACGCGATCATGAGAAGAAGTTGTAAGAACTGATTGCAACTTAGTAGTGGCTACCTAGGTCAGGAAAGGAATTGCAGATGTTGGATCATGTTACAGACGCAATGTGCAAATTAGCCCAGCCCAATCAGATTAATGGGGGTCAAGATGACCCGCTTCCATTAAGTCGAGAATAATGGGTTACCAATTTTGTAAGAAGCCTCAAAAGAAAACGATCTCCTTCCTAGCGTCCCTAGTGCTACCGCAAGCAAGGAGACTGTAAAACCTTAGAATAACAGGAGACAATGGCAACCATGGATTTAGGGGCGGTGGGTGGCTATTTTCGAAGGAGGAGGTTCAGAAGAAGTCGCAGAATGAATTATTCTTCAATGTCGATGATGGGTGGAACCCAAATCACTGATGTAAGTTTCGTTTGTTCTATTTGCTGATACCGGAGGAGGAGAACGATGGAAACAAAGATCAATCCTATCCTATCTCTATTTTTGTGAAAAATAAGCGCACTGTTCAGAATATGCTATTGATATTAGTGATTCCGGTAAGATCTTTGCAAACTTATCTTTTCTCAGTTTGAGTTGGGAACGTAGCAAGTGTAAGGGACTAGTGTTTTGGGATTATGCTTTTGATATTGGGACAGATTTTTTGTCTTGCAAAATGAATTAGGATTGTGCATTGTTCAAACTACTGGTTATGACTTTCTCGATAGTTTGAGAGGTGATACCTATATGCTACTTGTTTCTACCCTCAGGGTTGATCTAAAATTCAACTTTATATATTTTAGCATTGCAGGCATGGAAGTAAGTGGCGCAAGCCACATGATATTTGCTTTGAATGGATGCCTTATAGGTACTTTAGATAGAACCAATGTTGAAATCAGGGTGGATATTAGTGAGGAGAATTTTTTTCTCTTCAGTACAAAAGCAAATGCCTGTAGACTGATGAAGGCAAGAGAGAAGGGATTGTTCAAACATATAAATAGTTATTAATAGCGCTGCTTTAGCGCGCTTTCCCGGAGTTGCGGTGCGGTGCGGTGGCTATCCGCCACAGACTGCGCCGCTACAGTAGGCTGAAGTGTAGCGGCTGTTGCGGCCGCTATAGCGGCGAAATAGCGCTTGAATTGCGCCTGAATGCGCAGCTACAGTAACCCTAAGAAAACTATCGAGGAAGAAGAACGCAGGGAAAAAGAAAGGTCAGGGACTTTTTTAACTTTTACCCTCTTAATGCTATCTGATTCATCTAAGGTAAAAGTAAAAAGTAAAAGTAAATTTTTTTAAATCTCATACATTTTAAAAGAGGTAAAAGTAAAAAGTAATATTTTAAATCTCTTTTATTTTAAGAGAGGTAAAACAGTAAAAAAAATAAATTTACCCTCATTAATCAATTAGACAATCAGATGAGATCAAAACTTAGACAATTAGACACGATAATAGACAATCAGATATGAGATCAAAACTGAATCAAATTTTTCTATAAATTAAATCTAAATCATCACATACTCTAAAAAATCACCCATAATTCTAATTTTTCCATACATTCAAAATCCTCCTCTCCTCCTTCTCCCAAATCATTCGACTTTGTTGAGCAAAACTGGTTAGTTTTCTATTATGTTTTGTTTTTGTTTTTATTTTACAGCAACTGCATTTGTTTTCTTTTTTCTTTTTTTCTTTTTTGTATTAAGTTTCAATTTTTTTCTCTTTTTTATTATTCAATTATTTTTTCTCTGATTATTTTTGTTATTACATTTATGTTTTATATTTATGTTTTTTTTTTGTTAGACTTTTAATTTTCTGTTTTAACTTTTATCTACATTCTGTAAGTTTTTTGATAATTGATTTTGACATCTCACTTAAGTGACAGTTTGAAGTTTTTGCCACTTTATTTTGTTGTGTTACATTATTTGAGACTTTAGTTCCTCCAATTTGCTTATGATTTGAATTTTAATGTTTGAAATCATTTATGTTTGAGTTTGACATCCTTCAAATTTGTTTTTTGTCACATTTTCATTTTTTAAGTTTTATATTTATGGAGTACAATTTAGTGTATCACTTAGGTACACTTTGCATAGTAGCGTTGTAGCGCTACACGCTATAGCAGTTTGGAGGGTCGGCCGCACGTGCCGTTATCCGAGATTAATAAGTATATATAACTAAGCGCCACCCACTACTCATTTTGCTTGATATTGGTGCAATGACTATAACCTCTAGGGAAAGGAGAATTGCAAGGGATGTATTTGTTAATATGGTTGAGCATTATGGTGAAGCTTATGATTCTTACCTCCCACCATTTCTTGAAGCTTGCAAGGAGGAATACCCAAATTTTCCACAAGCTGCTGCCAATGGGGAGGGTGTTCGTCTTAAGATGGGTGGATATATTTTCGGAACCTTTAAAGATTTTGTTGCCTTAGCTCAATTTTTAATTGAAATGACCGTAGCTGCATATGCCATTGGAAAACAATTAAGGAGGTGTGCCATTTATTCCAAGACAAGTGATAATGGGATGTCTGCTGCCAAGCTTGTTGGAGGAGCGGCCATGCACAATGCTACTATATCCTTGTCTGAATTTTATTCTTGTGCTTTTTCTGTTGCTGCAAGACATCTTATAAAACTGTTTGTGAGGATTGAAGAAGGGCAATGGGATCCTGGGGGATGTTGCTGTGCTCCATGTATAAGTTGGTCCCCGGAGAATGTTTTTGCTAGTTAACCATTCACCTTGAGGACAAGGTGAAAGTTTTGGGGTAAGTATTGATACGGTCCAACCCAATAAAATATACAAAGGAGATAGAAATAAAAGAGTTTGGGTTAGGGTAAACTCCCATATTGCCCCCCCAACAAAATGCTGAGCTGGAAGCAGTTAGTTAAATACAAAGCTTGGTGTTGAAGGGAGGGTATCGGATAGCACATTCTGGAATTGGAATTTGGGAGAGTGTGGAGTCTCTCGAACTACTCCTCATTATCTGTTTTTTTTACTTTTCTGCAACTTTCGGTTGTTTTCCCTATAATTCATTAGAGTGAGGATATTCTGACTACCAAAAATTCTTACTACTAGCTTACTACCTATCACATCACCATTGGATCAAAGAGAGAGAATGTTAAAAAGTTTTTGAAGAGAGAGAAAATGTTAATCTAATGGTGATTAGATAGGTAGTAAGTTGGTAGTGGAAAATTTTGGTAGTGAGAATATCCCTCCTCAATTCATTATATCTAAAATACAAGTTTTCTGATTCAATGCCAACATTATTGTGTTCTGTTGTTGTTTCTATTCCAAATAATTAAGGGATCCTATCAGAATGTTTTGTGTTCTTGAGTAAGTTAGGAGAACTGATTTGCTTGTTCAACTTTGCAGAGAGATGCTGGGTCTTTTATCAGCATTTCCCAGTTGTCTATGCTCCTTAATGATCAATTGGATGTTTCTCTACTATTTCCCCATCATACATAGGGTGATTTTCGTCCTCTGATTGTGATAGGCCATTGAGTTGTTGTTATGATGACATGTTATGACCAGTCAAGGCCACTTTTGTGTGCTATTATGTGCAAGTCAGTTGCAGATGAAATGTACCATGATGTAGTCTCAACCTAGTTGATTAGGGTCAAGCAATTTTCATTGGTTGGTTAGCTGTATTCTGTTTCTTTTGTTCCCCCCCCCCCCCCCCCCCCCCCCCCCTGAATATTAGTTGCCCTAATTTGCTGTTTTTAAAGAAACCAATTCAACCCAAAAGCTTAAGCTAGTGGGTGAGGGCTTTTTAGTGGTTTATATTATTCTCTAACACGCCCCCTCACACGAGAGCCCACTGGGCTTAAAGGGTGGACAATGCACAGGCCCACTTACCTGTGCTAAGAAAATTCCACAAGAGAAAGTGGGGGCGATGAGGATCGAACCCGGGACACGAGGCTCTGATACCATGTGAAGAAACCAATTCAACCCAAAAGCTTAAGCTAGTGGGTGAGGGCTTTTTAATGGTTTATATTATTCTCTAACATTGTTACACTGTCTGTTTTCTCTGGGCAATAATATATCTGTTTGACTTATTTACATTGCTGCTTTCTTTCCTATTTTTGACTTGGAGATATTCGAATTGACTGCTTTACTGTTGATTAGATTACATCATTATGTCCTTGACATTCATTTCAAAAGCACAGTTGTTCTATTTGATCTAATTTGCTCTGCTTACTTGTTTCTCTAAGATTCTGCACTGTCTCTGTGAGACTATCTTTTCCTTACTCATATATTAATCGTATTTTACTTTTATAGGCCATTTTGCATGATGTGATTGACATCAACGACAATGATAACACTGCGGATTTAGTACTAATTGGTGAAAAAGTTGGCACAAGTAACAAGGGGAAGACAATTGAATCCATTCATGACGGTTATGGTGACCATCAACTAATGGTTTGTGAATAGGTTTTGTTATTTCTTGCAGCTGATCGATGTTATCTTTTCGAACATAAAAAGAGAATGTAACATTCTGGTTCAAATTTTTTTTCAGGGAGTGTTTGATGATATATTTTGTCAGTCTGTTTTGGACAAATCCGGACCAGGTAGCGAGGTCATATCCTCCAGTGGTTATACTTCAGTATCGCATAATTTGAGCAATGTTGATGGTCATGGTTCTGACCAATCATTTGATGATGATGACTACTCTGGTCTTTTTTTGGAAGATTATATGGATGTAGATAATTATGCTTTACTAGAGGCACATTTTGATAATGTCAACATACCTCCTGGAATTGAGGCACCCATTCCTTGGTTGGCAGAATATGGTCTAGATTTGAAGAAGACTGGAAGTAGTTCATTGTATCCTTTGTGTCATACCCAGTCCGATGCTAAAAATTCTAATGTGGTATACTCATCTCAGCCTTCATGGTCATTGGAGCCTACTATCCCAGAAATTCAAGGACCTTCAGCTGGTAATTCTAATTTGCAAATCAAAATGGATGCTATTGGTCACCCTTCTGGAATAGAGTTATCTTCTCCTCAGTTATTTTCTCAAACTATCCCTGGTCTGAAGAAATCAGATGCCTCACAGAGCAGGAGGCGTCAATTAAAATTGGCATTAGGCCAGGAGACATTGAAACCTAATTGGTCTTTGGACCCTTCTGACTCTGAGAGTAAAATTAAGCTTAATGCTTTTGGTGCTTCATCTAACAATGGCTTTGTAGACAATTCAGAGGCCATGAAGCTGACTAATGGAGGTGAGCCACCATATTGGGGACAATCTGAAAGTATGAAGAAGGCAGCCGGAAGTAGCAGTTCATATCATTCAAATTTCGTTGGACATGTAGATGGATCATTTTATTCTCCGGGAACTGAATTAATGAATCCTTGGTGGATGAAGAATAGCTTTCATGTTAAGCCATTTACTAATTATGCAGCTAATTCAAGTTTTTATAATCCATTTGTTCCTCTTCATCCCGAGCAAGTGTTTGATAATACTTGGGCTGCGAGAGATGGAAATAATGGAACAACTGCTGATACTACTGTTGTGACTATCTCTGATGAAGTCAGAGATGAAATTCTGAGGAAATTTCAAAATTTTAAACAATTTGACACCATTGAAGACACTTCAGACCATTTCTTTGTTCACGCTAATCGTGCCATGAAGCAGGTAGCCTTTTTTGTAATGCATTTTGTTTCAGTTTTAATCTTAATTATTTAGGTTCATCATCAATTTATTTCCTAAACAGCATTCAAAGAATTGGGCTAAAAGAATCCAGGAAGAGTGGAAGTTGTTGGAGAAGGATTTACCAGGTGATTATTTGTTTAGTATTCCTCTTACAAATTGGCGGTTATATTTTCCTTATTATATCACTTTTCATATTTGATTTCTATTTTCAAGATGATGGATCTGTACTCTGTGATTATCTCATGATTGTTATTTATATGCTAAGGGAGTGCTTGTTGGACTCAAAGGCCATTGGCATGGCTCTGTTTTCTAGTATGTATCTTTATGAAGCAGTACTAAAATAATTCTTTCCCTTGGTGGAGTCCAGATTCTTGTTCTAAAACTGGAAATTAAAAATAGCTGTAAATTGTGTTTTGAATATCATAATGTGGCCTGCTACTGGGTTTTGCCCAATTTCTTGCTGTTTCTTTGACATTTCTTTTTTGTCTCCATCAGATTCAATATTTGTCAGAATTTATGAATCAAGAATAGATCTTTTGAGGGCTGTGATTATTGGAGCAGAGGGAACTCCTTATCATGATGGTCTTTTCTTTTTTGATGTGTTCTTTCCCAGTGGCTATCCCAATGTACCACCAGTATGTGATTGATGATACTGTATCCAACTTACATTATTTTCATGTTCACTCTTTAATTTCAAGTCTGACTCAAGGGTCATTTTTCAATGCAGCAAGTCCACTACCACTCTGGTGGACTTCGGCTCAACCCTAATTTATATAATTGTGGCAAAGTATGCCTTAGTCTACTTAACACCTGGTCTGGCAATAAGAATGAGAAGTGGCTCCCAGGTGTTTCAACAATTTTACAGGTTCTAGTCTCTATACAAGGGCTGATCTTGAATACAAAGCCTTACTTTAACGAGCCTGGATATGCACGTCTGAGTGGTTCAGCTGATGGTGAAATGAGATCTCTGCAGTATAATGAGGACACATTCATCCTATCATTGAAGACAATGGTGTATCTAATAAGAAGGCCTCCTAAGGTTTGATTCCAGAACTATCTCTTGGTTCAATTTTTTATATCTCAAACAAGATATATTGTTTTAAGAAGTGTGCTATGTCATGTTTGGTCATAGCGCCTCAAGGAAATGATGTCTAGGAATGCTCCTGTTGTGCCTTTTGGCAAGCTATGAAGAGAAAGCGGAGGAAAAAAATGATAAACACTGTATGAGCCAATTTAGGAAACAAATATAACACGTTAGAACAATAGACTGAGCAAATATAGGCAAACAATTTTGAGTATTTCGATTCAGTCCTTTCTAAAGTATATTGAAATTATATATACTTTCATTAGCGAATAGTTGAGATCTTACCATTGACCATTGTCCATAACTCCATATGATTTAGATGCATTAATCAAGATACTTTAAGAATTGGCGAAAGATACTCGATCTTCCCCCAACTTTTGTTAATACAGTTTGTTGCTTTCTCCAAGTTAAGTGGATTTTTTTTTGAAGAGGGCGAGTCTAGACTAATGGGAAAGCTATTCCTTTGTGACTGAAAAGTTATGAGTTCGAATCCGAGAAATAATCTATTTGCAAATATGCAAGGGTAAAGTTGCGTGCAAGAATTGCCCTCACCCCACCCTTGCTAGTCGGGGTTTAATAGATAGTGGTGTTTTTTTTTTATTCTTTTGTACAAGAAGATTAGTTATTGAGAGAGAAATAAGACTTGGTGTGCCTTGGTATAGAATATTTATTTGGCATGAAATACATGCCTTCCTTCAGTCAAGCACTTGTCTCTATGCTTTGTTGCGTTTAGGCTTTACAAAGATGTTGATACTTTTGTGTATTGTAGACATAGTTGTCAATAGCAGTTAGCGGCCAGTAGCGGCCGACCCCGAAATGGTATAGCGGTGTAGCGGGTAGCGGTATTACCGCTACGGTGAAGTATTAATTCCACATATATTATACTAACAGTCAAGAAACAAGGCAATACCCAAACACATAATTCCACAATCAATGTCAAATACAAGGAACATAAAGGAAGGATCCAAAATTAAACACAACTGAACAATAAAATTGTCAAATAGCCAAGTACAAGAAGTGAACTAATAAAGAAAATCATCATCATCTTCGGATTCTCCATCAAATTCCAACATGGGAGTGGTGTAGCGGGGTAGCGGGTGTAGCAGGTAGAGGTATTGCTGCTACGCTATGCCGCTACCTTCCGCTACAGCCAATGTCGCGTAGCGTCGCGGTTTGTAGCGGCCGACCGCCGCTACCCGCTACGGTAGCGGTTTAGCGGCGCTACGGGCCGCTACTGACAACCTAGATTGTAGACATTTAACTACTATTACAAATCATCACTAATGATGCATGTGCATCCTTTGTTTGATAAACTCTGATTTTTACTGGATTAACATTTCTTTTAGCTGAAATCCTTTGATTTAATTTATACTCGTCAACTTAGGCACCCTGTTGGAATATGATGGTACTGGAAGAAGAGAATCTGTAGTAAGATCAGGAAATTGGGACTAGCCCTTACAGATAAGCTTCTACTAAGATAATTACCCACAAAAACAGAACAACCCATCAACAATATGCAAGTACAGACCCTATTGAACAGTAAACACAATATCATGGCTAAAGCAACAAGAAAGAAATTAAAGACTCCATAATCCAGCTCCCTTATAAGGAAATCAGCCATCCTCATAGAGTTCCCACTCCTTATGATACTAATAAATTCTCAGATGCCTTCACTCCCATTGTGCCTCCCCCTATAACCAACTCCCCACTCTCCTTTCCTCCCACATCTCCTTCTCCAGTCAACGCCAGCCATTTATATTCCCTTGTAACAATCTCACGTTCATTCCCTCCCTCGGTCCCAATTCTGTTATGGCGGTTGGCAGTTGCTACTTCATAGTGGGGCTGATTGCAATTAGACTGATTGGCTTGGGCCTTATTCCTTACCCTCTTGCACTCGTACACAAACTTCAGTGGCCCATCAGAATATTTTATCATGTAGGGAAGCCCATATTACATGCATTGCATTAGTTTATTGTGGAAGACCATGGACAATTGATTGTTAAATGTTTATTCATCAACATATGCATCAATTCAAGAGCATACACTAATCAATTAAAACTACATGCAAATTGTTTCTTATCATCCTTCTATTTTTTGCCACCCTAGGTTATTTTATCCCTCTTCCTCCTCTTTAGTTTTGCACCTTGGGTTTCTGTATTTGTGGTGAGATATGTTCACTGCAGTTATGAATGGAGTGTTAGTTTAGCAGATAGCTCCATGAACTCACATGAATGATAAACAAGACAGGTTCTAGAATGTGCAAGGAGTTTATTTAGTATATATAACTTCTGTGTAACTGTCTTATGTTTTTTGGGTTAAAAAATTGACTATTCAGGTAATTTTGGTTTCAGAATTTTGAGGACTTCGTTGTTGGGCACTTCTGCAGCCGAGCTCATGATATTCTGGTGGCATGTAAATCATACATGGATGGTGCTCAAGTTGGGTGTTTGGTCAAAGGTGGGGTTCAGGATGTTGATCAGGGTGACAAGAGCTGCTCAAAGCATTTTAAGAATTCCTTAGGTGCTTACGTGGGTATGCTTGTTAGAGAGTTTACACAAATTGGAGCTAAGAACTGTGAGAAATTCTTGTCTCCGTCAACTGCAACAGCAACAGCAGGGAACAAACAATTGGGTGAATTGCCTGTGGCTGCTATGTTATTTTGACAAACCCAATTTTGAGACTTACAAAGGCACATTGCATTTAATTCATACAGCTAGAAGGTTTATGTTTTATATTACATTGTTGAACTCGTTATAGACTCTTATTCTCATGAACAATGTCTGCACATAATTGTGGATATTGTATATAGTTGCAGATGAATATTTAATGCGTTGTTAGGATTGCATAAGATCCGCGATCAGATGATTCTGGCTTGTGTTTCGTTGCTTATCTTTCGCTTGTCTAAAGTTATTTTAGATAAATTTGTTTAATGTTTATCGAAATGATGTCATTTATGGCAAAAATTATGGTGTGTTTGTAATTTTAATTTATTTTAAGATTATAATAATCTTTATCATTTTAATTTTTTAATTTTAAAATTATATCATTTCGATAAATATTAGATAAAATTGTCTACAATAATGACAGATACTTTTTTCCCATTAATTTTTAACACACTATTGTTGGGTAGTACTCAATGACTGCCACCATCTTACGATAAAGAAAAGTCAGAAGTTTCACTCAGTTCTTGCTATAACATTTTGTTGGGGGGAGTGAATTTGACATTAATTAGATTTTAAAAAAGGATATTTAGTTTTTTTAATTATATAAGTGATTTAATTTGATACTTAAAAAATTAACATTAATTTATTTTTTCGAATGAAATACCAATTCAATTAATGGGTGTTTATTCTAAATTCTAAATTCTCAATTCTCAATTCTATGGTTTCTCACAATGAGTCTATGACTTTTTATATTTACTTTTTCGTACACAGTAACAAGTAGGATAATAATTCCTTATCCACTCATATAGTTATACGATCAGTTTCCCTGGAAAACCATGAATCGTTATCTATTTATTCATCGTTGGTCTGATTGGAAGGAAGGAGCTAGTCCGTGAGCCAATCTGGTGCTTTCTCATGATAATTTTTTACAGTAAGTCAATCATGGCTGATAATAGATAATGACCTTAACCTTCTTTTTTTGACCAATTGAAGTTTCTAAAGACAGCTAGTAGGATTTGTCAAATACTAGATCGAACAAAAAATTATGCTGTGTCTTTGGCAACTTGTCCTGTGCTCTTTGGCTTTAGCTGTTTCTTAGCTTCTTATTAATGTGCATCAAAATGCAACTTGTGTGTTATAAGAATATTTTTTTTTTTTTCAAATTCAGGTAAAATATAAAAATATAAATACAATAAAAAACATTTATGATTTTTTTGAATTATAAATAATATATAATTAATTTAAGTAGAATGCAAAAAATTAAATAAAAAATATTGGAAATTATACATATAATATACATAATTAATTCAAAGAAATCAATCTTAAAATTTTAAAAAAGAGACATTAAGTTAAAAAAGTCTAAAAATGACACATAATTTTCTAAGAGAGAGTATAATAAGAAAATTAAACATTTCATTAAAGTGAATTTTTAAAGGGTAAAGGATTTCTCCGGTCAATGGAGATAAGTTATTTCCGGTGAACCCAAAACGACGTTGTTTTGGGACGGAAATCAAGGTATTTTTGTAATTATAATATATTGCAGGGTTATATTAGTCTTTGTCATTATAATTTTTAAATCTTATAATCCCAAAACGACGTCATCTTAAGTTCACTGGAGATAACTTTATATCCAGTGACGACTGACTGGAGAAGATTTTTTTAAAGTACAAAATAAAAAATATTTAAAATTCTAAAAAATACATAATTACTTAAAAAATTAAACTTAAAAATTAAAAAAAATTAAAATTATTTAAAAAAGAATATACGAAAAAATAATAATTTAACTACAAGTAAACCTTATTTTAATGAGTTCACTTTTTTCTGCTGTTATTGCAAATAAGTTATCTGCAGTAAGTCTAATACGACGTCGTTTTGGTGCAGAAATCATGGTGTTTTTATAATTTTAATTTATTTCAAAGTTATTATAGTCTTTATAATTATAATTATTTAATTTTTCAATCTCAAAACGACATTATTTTGGGAGTAAATGCAGATAATTTATCTGCAGTAACTAGAAATATTATTCTGTATTTTAATACATATAAATGGATAATCACATTTTACATTTACATTTATGTCAAAAAGACTTTTCTTTAAATTTGATTTGTTTTCTCAAGTGTTCCTCCTCCCTCTTTACAAAACCTTATCCTCCTCACACCAAAAATCCCGTTTTCCTTGTTATACCAATCTCTTCAAACTTGAAACCCACATTACATTACATTCCTCCAAAGCCACTCACTCAAACAACAAGAGAAGAGAAGAGAAGAGACATGTTCACCTCATCTTCCTTCTCATTTCACTCCCCAACCCTTCTTCATCATCATCATCATCATCATCATCATCATCATCGCACCTCTTACCCTCTCACTCTTTTACGCTTCAACCCCGTTCCCTATTCTCGCACCCTCTCTTTCCTCCACCCTCCACCGCTACAACCCTTCCCGCCGGCGACCCTCTTCGCCGCCGCATCAAAATCTCCGGCCGCCGACAAGTCCGGCGAGCAGAAATGGGTCCACGAAGGCCTGATCATGGAGTCCCTCCCAAACGGCATGTTCCGTGTTCGCCTCGACAACGAGGATTTGATCCTAGGTTACATTTCTGGTAAAATCCGAAAGAACTACGTTCGGATTTTACCAGGTGACAGAGTCAAGGTTGAGGTTAGTCGCTATGATTCCTCCAAAGGACGCATAGTTTATAGACTCCGTAACACCTCCTCTTAGCTTTACCCATCAAAACACGCTCCAATTGGGTTATGACGAAAACCCTCTTTTCTTTCTTTCTTTCTTTCTTTCTTTCTTCTTTGTTTGATTTTCGAGCTTCTTTCAGTAGAAAAGAACCAAATATTGAGTATATGGTTGTTTGTATTCAAAAAAAAAAGAAAAAAAGAAAGCTTAGTATGTGGTCTGGTACTGTTTATTTCAGGTTCATCTTTTAATTGCTGTCTTATTGGTAGTTCTTATAGCGATACAATACAAAGAATTGTTCCAACTACTAATAACCATTCTATATAGTGATAATGAGTTTGCTTGTATTAACCAGATTTCTCGAGTTAGAATCTTGTAAATCGACAAAATTGTCACTAGTTAAACGGTGCTTAAGCTAGATTAGTTGGAATTCTGATGAATAATGGTTAGGAAACAAAAATAAATTGTTCAGACGCAGCCTAAGTGTCCCTCCATATGTGTCAAAAGCAACCTAAGTGTCGTTAACCAACTGCTACATGACTTGGTTGGAGTCAAATCGAACCATGGAGATCAGACATGTAAAGATGAGAAGAAAGAGTTGCATCCTCCTGATTAGTAGTTATAGACTTATAGCTATAACTTTTGGCCTAGTATGGATATAAAGAGGTTGTTCAACTCTATATGGACTGAAGGAGGTAGAATGAGTTATATATTTTTTTTGTTTACGTGAGAATTGAGTATATGATCTCTACCCTCACCCCTACCCATACATAGATCCAGTGACATAGAATTCACTATTTAATATGACTTTAACTGCTACGTGTAGCAGCAGCAATTACTAGGGAGCCGGCTTCTATTCATTTTGAGAAACACATGAGTATGGTTGTGGACATTTCCATGGTCATTTCACAGAATTGATGGTATCTTTTATCATCATGGATCCAAACTTTCTACCATTTTTGATGTCCTGAATTTCTTTTTTCTGTCATGACAGCCCCTTAGACTATTCACTCTTGAACACACCACTGTTATGGTTAGTAGTTAACATGAAGTGCTTGTTTCCGAGCCAGGACTGTCCACAGAACTTGTCCAGTTTCTGAAAACAATCAAATTTTATAGCTGCATCACTGTCTCAAGTGTAAAGCTACAGAACTGAGAGGCTGAAGGCTTCTGTCAAGTTGTTAGAGAAATATAAGAACCTTGATGGGCCTTTATTTACAAGTTTAAATTTTTGGGTTGAATAGTTTTATATGGTATAAGAGCCAAGGTGATCACAGGGTCACGAGTTCGATCCTCACCATCCTCACTTTCTAGTAGAACTAAGTTAACATGAGATAGAATAAAAAAATTGGCACTTGTAATATTCATGCTTCAAGCTCAAAGGACTCTTGCGTGAATGAGAGTGTTAGAGAGATATAATATAAAATCATTGAAGGTACATCACTTATAAGCTTGAACTGTTTGGTGAAATGATTGCTTATCATGGTATTAGAGACTATGTGACCATGTGTTCACGAGTTTGATCCTCACTGCCCTCCACTTTCTAGTAGAATTAAGTCAACACAAGGTAGAATAAAAAAATAGGCCTTTACAATATTCACTTTTCAAATTCAAAGGGCTCTTGCGTGAAGGTGTGTTAGAGAAATATAAAAATATAAAAATCTTGATAGGCCTTCACTTACAAGCTTAAGCTATTAAGTTGAATGGTTGTTTATCACAAGTTTTGTTATTCTAGGAGCAATTTTCTGGCATAAGAATAGAATGCTTTTCTTTTTATTTTTCCTTCTTATTTTTTCTTCCAAGTTTAACTGGGAGGCTTTCATGGTTGGATCTGAGGTAACTTACTTGATCTTTCTGTTGTTTTTAAACTGGATGTTAATTATGAGGTACCATCCCTAGTTTGGTTAATGTGGAACTTTATACAGCTCGAGTTCCTTTCATGACCCGAATCATCTTTACCCCAATTCCCTCCTGAGGTTCCCTAAATGGCACATCGAGGTTAGTATGTGTTCTCGGAGAGTATTTACCCCCTAGCTTGCAGCTGAGTATGAATAGAAATATCTGTCTGTTCAGTACTCCCATCTGCCACTGTATTTGAATTGGTGATTGCCACACTGAATTTAATTCTCTTGGCAATAGGATTGGACACTAACCTAGTTTCTTGTAATTGCATAAACCTCAATGCTCGGAAGAGAAACCATATCTTGGTTTCTCATAGAATTTGGGTGCAGTAGGCATGTTGGGTACATACGCAATGATGATTTCTTCCACCACAAAAAAATAAATAGCTGGGCATAAGAGCAATAGATTATCTGCTGTTGCTTGCTGACTACTATATACAACTTTTTGGAATGAGTTAAATGTTGGGGGATTGTTCTTTTGGAATAAGCATGAGGTTGCCTGGTTACTTGTCAATCAAGCTCACTAGGAGCATCATTTTGGGGAAATTCGGGTTACTTTGAGGATCTTCTTCCAATGTTCTAAATTTTTAGCTTGAGTCTTCCGGGAGTTAAATGTGTGTACTGAAATCAGCTCTAGAAAGAGGTTTGACAGAAATAGACGGGAGATATCCTTATGGGTATCCATAAAATTTGAGTTTTGATGTTAGTTAGCAAAAGTATATCTCTAGGAGAACATGGGTTTCATATTCCCTAGTATTTTTAAGGAGTCAATTGTGTGCATGGTCTTCTTCTGTTGTGCCTCTTTGTCCATATGAAATCTCAAAATCGTTATAACTTTTTGCCCTACCAAGCAAGATTTCTTGCCGCCGACATAATGTAAGATTGTTTTGTTTATGCGTATGCCGAAGAATGTCAAATTAATACACCTTAAGGCTTGATCTTTGTATATATTGAGTAAAGGTGTCAAAATGGATCAACACGACACGAATACATTAGACACAAACACGATATAAATTTTTATTCGTTTCAAAATTTTCAACATGATACGAATTTTGTGTGGGTTGACACGACACGAATGACACACAAACTAAGAGTTAAAACGATAATTGACCAAAAAAATATATTAAAAAATGGGTCAAAATCTAAAAAAAATAATAATAATCAAATATATTAAAAAATACGGGTCAACCCGAATTTGACGCCACGAATTTTTTGTAGGTTATTTTTTTCAACACGAACACGACACAAATTTTTTTATGAGTCAATCCGAACATGAATTTTTGTATTGTGTCGCATGTCATAACTTGTTTTGTCATTCTTGAGGCTTTAAAGTTTGATCCACTTTCCTTTAAATTCTTATTTTATCTAAACCAGAATCACTTTCCATCAGCGAGGTTGTAATTCCTTCTTAACATGAGTAATTCTCAAGGACTCCCCATTTTCACAAGGAAAAAGTTTCAAAAGGATCACAAACTGATATTTACTTTCCAAATTCTCGTTTATTTAGTTGTAAAGTCAACATCAGGCTGCCATAGACTTATTATTGTTAGAATAACAAACACAGGGAAAACTGTAATAATTAATTTCATTATCTGTGGTACATGTACAATGGAATGGTAGCCTTATATGAGCAACCGTGAAACAAGGAATAACATAATTGATAAAAACGTGAGCATATGGGCTCATAACAGAAAGGCAGTACAATTGTACTATAAAATAACTAACTCTTAAAAAATAAAAATTCTATATTTTAATACTCCTCCTCAAGATGGAGAGTGTATATTGTGCACTCCCATCTTGGAAAACAGTGAGGAAAACTGAGCAGGATGAAGAGCCTTAGTCAGGATGTCAGCCAACTGATGCGCAGAAGCAATAGGAAAAGTTTGAAGACTGCCTTTAACAATTTGTTGTCAAACCAAGTCGCAATCAATTTCGATGTGCTTTGTTCTCTAATGAAAAACAGGGTTGACAGCTATGTGAAGAGCAGCAGTGTTCTCACAAAACAAATGAGCAGCAGCAAAATGACTGATATGAAAATCCTTGAGCAAAGAGAACAACCAAATGAGTTCACAAGTTACAACAACCATTGAACGATACTCAGATTCAACGGAAGACCTGGAAATAGTAGCTTGCTTCTTGGATTTCCAACTAATGAGAGAATCTCCAAGAAGACATAGAAACCAGAAACAGATTTACGAGTATCAAGGCATTAAGCCCAATCCGAATAAGAGAAAGCATTCAATTGAAGCTTGGAAGATGAGGAAAATAATAAACCTTGACCAGCAGTGCCCTTTAAGTAAGACAACACTCTATGAACAGCATGCAGATGAGGAACTCAAGGAGTAGCCATGAATTGGCTAAGATGGTTAACATCATAACATATATCAGGCCTAGTAATGGTTAAATAAGTCAAACGCCCAATCAACCTTCTATACTGTGTGGGATCAGAAAGGATATCACCTGTAGTTGAAGAGAGTTTGAGGTTGGGTTCCATAGGTGTAGATTTTGGCTTGCAGCCAAGGTAACCAGCATCAGAGAGGATTTTCAAAGTATATTGTCGTTGACAAATTGAAATTGCAGCAGATGAACGAGCCACCTCAATACCCAAAAAATATTTCAAAGCTCCTAGATCCTTTAATTTAAACTTGCTTTACCCGGATGCTTGGTAAATATAGAATGACCAGATTCAGAGTGAGAAAATCCAAGAGAAAGAAGAGTTGAGGAAAGCTTAGCACACCATTGGCTGGAAGCCTATTTTAATTCATACAATGACTTGTGAGGTTTACAAACTGCTTTAGATGGTAAAAACTCCCCCTGTTTATGATAGCCAGGAGGCAAGGACATGTTAATCTCCTCAGAAAGCTCCCCATGTAAAAAAAAATTATTGACATCTAATTGAATTAGATGCCAACTATGAATTGTAGCAAGAGCAAGGAGAAGACGTATGGTGGTAATTTTAGCAATTGGAGAAAAAGTCTCCATAAAATCCAGACCTTCTTGTTGGATGAATCCCTTTGCAACTAGATGGGCTTTATAAAGCTCAAGAGAGCCATCAGCATTATATTTGACCCGATAAACCCACTTACAAGCAACATGGTGTTTACCTTTGGACAGGGAAACAATAGACCAAGTCTGATTATGTTCAACGACAGATATTTCAGAATCCATGGCAGCAGACCATTCAGGTAATTGAGAGGCTTCAACATAAGAGGAAGGTTCAAAATATGAGGAAATTGTATTTATAAAGGCATGGTAGGAAGGGGATAGTTTGTTGTATGATAAATAAGCTGAGATAGGATGGACAATGGAGGTGGAGCAAACATAATCTGAGAGGTGGGTAGGAGGTTTCTTTATACGAGAGGGTCTGGCTGTGGTATGAACAGGAGCTTCAGTAGTAATGATAGGAGTGGATGGAAAAGGT